ATCATCATCAAAATCATCATCATCATTCTCATTACCATCATTATTATTGTTAATGATAATAATAATGATAATGATAATAATAATAATGATTTAATAATAACCATCATCATCCTCATTATCAATATCATTACTATAATAATATCTTCATTTAGCATTATTTAGCATTACTGAAATTATTATTATTATTATTATTGTTATTGTTATTATTATTATTATTATTATTATTGTTATTGTTATTATTATAATTATTATTATTATTATTATTATCGTTATTATTATTGTTACTGTTATTGCTTTATCATTATCATTATAATTTATTATTATTATTATTATTATTATCATTATCCTTCTTATTATTGATAATAAATAAATACTAATAAAATGATGATAATATAATCATCATTATAATATGTTGATATTGTTATTAACATTATTATTTTTATTATTATCATTATTGTCATTATGATTATTATTATTATCATTAATATTATTATTGTTATTGTTATTGTTATTATCATCATTATTGATTTATGATATCATTATTATCATCATTATTAATTTATGCTATTATTATTATCATAATATTAATAATAATATCTTTATTATTGGTGGTAGTACTATTGTTTTTATGATAAATATTATTTCATAATAACAATAGCAAAAATGATAACAATAATATTAATTATGATAACGACAATAACAAAAGTTATCATTATCATAATAATAAAGAATATTACAATTATTATTATTATTATATTTTTTTGTTACTGTTACTATTGTTATCATTACTATAAACACCATTATTATTATTATTATTATTATTATTATTATTATTATTATTATTATTATTATTATTATTATTATTATTATTATCATTATTATTATTATTATTACTGATGTTGATAAGATTCCTAGGACTACTACTACTACCACTACTGTCGTTGATATAATTATAATCATGATAATGATAATAATAGTAACAGGAGTGATAACAATAATCATAATGATATTTCACTATACTACTATATCCTAAAATAATTGCTACTACTACTGATACTACTACTAGTGATAATGATGATAATGATTATTATTAATATTTTCTTTATTTAGTAGTGTTATTAGTATCATTATTGCTATTATCATCACATTTATTTAATACATTACTATTACTCTTGTAGTATTAAAATCATTACTGTTATTATTATCATAATCATCACTGTTAACATTATCATTATTATTACTATCATCATTATAACAAAAAATACTTATCATTAACAAAACTTTCTGTCTGTTTGTCTGCCTTTGTCTGTCTTTCTGTCTGTTTGTCGTCTCTGTCTCCTCCTCTCTTTCTCTGTCTGTCTGTATCTATCTCTTTCAGTCAGTCTGTTTGTCTGTCTCTTTCTCTCTTTTTCTCCCCCTCTCCCCCTCTTTTCCTTCTTCTCTCTCTCCCTCTCTCCCCCCTCCTCTCCCCCCTCCTCTCCCTCTCCCTCTCCCGCTTTTTTTCCTTCCTTTCACCTCCCTTCTCCCTCTCCCTCCCTCCCCTCTCTCCTCTCTCTCTTTCTTTAAAATTCAGCATCATTTTGTTCTGTCATCTTCTTATCCTCTGATATGCAGAACGTATTGTTTTATCAGTTTATTGTTCTTAACGCAATCTAAATGGATATTTGCTTTCCATTTCTTTTCATGTTTATCTTTAATCAATCCTGGCGTATAGTTTTTTTCTTTGTTTATATTGTTTATATATAGAAAGAGTTTTGTTGTTGTTGTTGTTACTGAGAGTATTGGTATTGTTATTATGATAACTATCTTTATCATTATCACTATCTTCATAACCGTCGTCATCATGACTATAATTAACAATGTTATTATTGTCATTACGATGAATTTTGTTATCAGTATCATTATTACAATTACCATCATTATTATTAAAACATTGTTATTATTATTATTATTATCATTATTATCATTATTATTATTATTACTATTATTATAGTTATTGTTAGTATAATTATTGTTATTATCTTTAATTTCATAATTATCATTATTGCTATTTTATAATTATTATCATCATCGTTATGATCATCATCATCATCATGAACATAATTATCTAAACATCATCATGGTCCTCATCATCATCATTATCATCTTTATGATCATTACTTATATCATTACCACTATCATTATCATTATCATTAGTGAGATTTTATTTCTTTACTATTATTTCAGTTTACCATAAACGATATTACACCAGTATCAAGACCACTACACTATATTGTTTGAAAATGAAATATAGTGAAGACGAATATAAGTCAGACACAATAATATTTTCAGGAGACTTGGTCCTGAAACGATTATTTATTCCCCTGGCTATCTATTTATTTATATTTTTTGGCGCCAGGGTCCGTGGAATTGGTTAGATTAATTATCATCGGTAAAGGAAATATTGTTGCTGTTACGATGATTATCATTATCATGATAATAATTTATCATTATTATACTT